ATTCACACCATTCCCGATCGCACGTTACACAATCACACCATTCCTCATACACCATTACACCATTCCCCTTACACCATACACCATAGCACCATACACCTTCTACCATTGCACCATATGCCATACACCATTACACCATACACGTTATTTTGGGAAGTTTACACCATCCAAGGGCTGTACACATAAAGAAAGTTTGTTTGTTTTTATCACTTGTTTCATGATTATAGCAGAATGTATTATAAAATAACCGTAATTAGAAATCCATTTCTTCACAACGACGTCAGTAATGTTTTGATTTCATTTCTTTCTACAAGCAATTAAAAATGCAAGAATTAGACACTATAAAACATTTGTGCTATTAAGATTATATTTGCGAAGGTCGATTTTCCTATATGTAGGCAGATTGCAGATCTGTGATGGGTTATCTTTTTTTTGTGTCTTAATTTGGGGCAATTTCAATTACGTATATTGTTATGTATTTTGCTTTATAATAGACGTGTTAGGAAAGGGGTTTAAATACAACGCTGATGTTAAATACCAATACCGATACAAGATTTAAGTGTGGACTTTCTCAAAATGCAATTGCACTGAAAAGTATCCCGGCGTAGTATAATAGTTTAGATTTGTGGTGTGTTTGATACAACATGAAGCGAACAGTTAACGTCGACTCCAAATTTTAAGAAGTGCATTGGCCTTACGTAGATCTTCATACATTCATACATTAATTTGTATTTGTTTGATTTAAGAGTGCAAAACAAAACTTAACAAAAATATATGCAAGAGTAAAGAATGGGAATGACGGATTTTACGGCCACAAGTCCAAATATATATATTAAGCGATATGATTAGAATATGTTTAATAGTTAAATAACTTAGTTTGTCTCTCCACAATAGATATTTCCTATTTCCGTTGCAAAATATAGTTAGCATGCATTTTGTGTCCGGGGATACAGGAACGCGTATACATGTGTGGCTTAAACAAATTAGTACTAATCTGAACTCGTTATATCTATATATAAAAAAAGAAAATAAAAAGTGGACACAAGTGGATACAGTGCTATTTCTATATAAGACTTTAAGAAGCAGGGAGCTACAGTAGAGGGTTTTCTTGCTGCGAATAGTTTTAATGTTCAAGAAAACCACTTTCCATGAGCTATATGTGATTTGTATTATCTACAACTTTCTAGGTCTGAATGCAATGAATGGACAGAGGGACGAAAGAACGGACGGATGGACCAATTCACCCATCACTATTTACCGTCCAATTTAGAAAGCGGAGTGTATAGTGAATCTAAGGCAAAACAAAATGAAGCAAATCGAAAAAAAAAATAAATGCCCGACATTTAATTTAGCAGACTTTGTTTTGAAAGAGGTGAAAATGAATATTCCATTTTCAAAATAACCTCCTGACCCAAAGATACTAACATTGACTTCTCCATATGAAAGTTTAACGCCACTTTCAACAATATCTCAATTTAATCGTGGTGTTCTGTTTTGTTGGTGGAGGAAGCCGTGGTAACAAGAAAAAAAAAAACTTCCGACCCTTCATCGAAACGTAAATTTAACATGCTTGATAATGTCCAAACGTTGTAATCTTTTAATACTTAATTCGATAACCTCTCTTTTCCGAAAAACTAACTGATAAAAGTTGATAGAAGGAAAATGTCAGGGCAAAACTTTTTATGTGAATAAGAATTTAAATTCATTTAACATTATATAAAATTGTCAGTGACCTTTCGAGATAAAATAAAAATATAATCAAATTGAAAACGCTTTTGTTTCAGTCTTTTTTTTAATTGTCAAGTACATAAATTTCTAGTTTGGTTTATTTTTAGAATTTTATGCTACTGTGTAACACATTTCTCTATTATAGAAAATGATATAAAATAAGGAGATGCGGTATGATTGCCAAAATAGACAACTATCTACCAGAGACCAAATGACGTAAATGTTTGCAACTATAGATCACCGTATGACAGACCCCCAACACGGAGCAAAACCATTCCCGCATATAAAAGCTAAGAAAGGCCCAGATATGACAATCATTTTTTAAATAAATTTCAAATAAACGAACGTTTTGAACAAAGATTGATGTAGAGTATAAAATCGGATTCGAATGTGATTTAATTCCTGTGTTTTTTTCTATTCATTTATTTTGGTCACTTTGTAGATTTTCCTTGTAGTCGTTCAACAAAATAGTAAGAAATGGGGGAACAACGATCTTAAACTTAATCGATCCCTACTATGACACAATGCAAGAATAATGCTCGTGTTGTTTTGCTGGATACTCTTCCGTGTGTTGCGGAATAAATTGTTACTATTTTATTGATTAAAAATCATCTCAGCATTATCAAACAAACCCATACAGGTAACAATAATGAATGATAATTTGTGCTTTTTGAGATGGTCCCCACTATAGCCTGTAGTGGTATTGGTATTTAACATCAGCGTCAACATCGTATTGACTTTCCTAACACGTCTAATAGTATGCGCAAAACTGTTGGATGAAACACTCTGTTTGACATTGAAGTTGCTGATTATTTATATGTATAAACACGATTTCAGTTAAGAACTATATTTAAACATTTCTATTTGTATGTAAAATGTAGAATAAACAATTTGAAAAAGGATCTTGTTTGGCTCTTAAATGTTAAAATTAATTGAAACAAACTGTATCTATACACAGTAGTATCCCGCAGCATTTGTAAATTTTCAATATTCCTATTTAATATTTGTATTGAGTGTTTCCTAAATTATCATTATCAGTATATTGCTTCAATCTAATTGATAATGTAAGGTGGAATCCAATGTTGAATCATTATAAAGATATATACAAGCAGCAGAAAATAATCAAATTTTGATTTCAATTTTTTAAGAAAGAAATAGATTTCTCCAGAGTTATAATTATGTTTAAATTATTAGCTTTTGATATCAAACATTTGTATTTTAAATTGTCAGCAACGATTAATGTTTCAACATAATTAATAATGTTAGATATACTCCAATATTTGAATCACTACTGAGACAATTATTGTAGCATAAAATAATCATATTATTAATAGAAAAAAAAACCTTCTAAGAAACTAAACATGTGTTTCAAAGATTTTTTTCAGGCCTCTGAGTTTTCCCGACACAGGTAACCGTTTGCAAAAATAACCAAATTGCAAGCAATTTTTAAACACCTTTGTACCATATATTACAAAAGGTACTCATTAACCTTATTAATTATATAAAATACCGGATAAGGTTTTTATATTTGAAATAACATCAGCTTAACCATGTTAACCTTATTTAATTAGGACGACAAGCATTTTCAACGCAGTATACCCTTTTCAAGCAAATTACAAAATTATATTTGCTGTTAACATAATCTTCTGGTAAATAAATAAATTAATGGGTATTCAATAATGAAACTTACTTATAATTCGATCTTTTTATACTGGTTTTATCTAAAATTTAGTCAACACGCAGTTGTTAATAAACAGTATGATATACATACCACAAAATTGCAATTATAAAAATGTTGGAATTAAAGCTTTATTGTTTAAGAAAGAAAATTAAAAAGTAGTTTGGAAGAACTTTTTGATTTATAAGTCATCAACATTTTGTCATATAATTCAAAGGCAAGATCTTTTTCAGGCTTTGTGCGTGGCATCATCTGACAATTTCAGTTTCTTGATTTGATAGAAGGGAGGTAATTATCTAGGTACGATGTGACTAGATGTATATTACCTAACTAGTTTCCAAATATTTTGTTATCAACGAAATATGAAATCTAGACAAAGACGGTCAACACCGTCGATTTTTTTTAAAATTTAAATTAATATATCATAAGGATGTTTTCTTTAAAAAAAAATTTAAGATATCTTTTATTTTCTTTATTTTATCAACTCAACCACAGGTTCCCATCATGTTGCTAATAACATATGAAGGTAGCCCTCGGGAAACGTAAGAAACGCGAACGGTTTTGTACCTATAAATGAAACACTTTCGTGGTCTTTCTAACACAGATTTTCAGTAACAGTATAAAAGCCATCATGGCGTCCGTAAACTTTATATGCTTTGGACTTATAAACGATAAATACTACTTTCTCATTAAACTCGTCCACAAGTGAAAGTATTGTCCACAAATATTTCATTTTAAAAGAAAAGTTTGGCGGCTTAGGTATTAAAAAATAAATCAAATAAAAAAATACCTGTAAAATACATATTAGCAGTTCCCTAACAACATTCATATTTCATGATAGTCTTGTAAAAACCACGTATATTAAAAACTATTAAGTCATTAACATTGACATTCATAAAGGTATTTAAGGTTTAAATGTATCAAGGTCTTTATTTACCATCACATTGTAAATGAGTGCTTTGACACATTCATATATGGCTCTTTAAATTTTCAAAGATCTTCAATAAACTAAAATATATAACTGACAATATGATCTATAAATATTACAATAGCTAACGTTTTTAAATTACGTGTTTTAAAGGAATATGTACACTAAATATATGCGGCTAGTTTATTCTCTTTTTTATACATGCTATATACATCGTTGAAAAAAAACCAAAGACATTTGTGATAACCCTTGAGAAATACGGATACTAATATCACACTTGGAAAAAACCCAAATACTAACAAGTTATATGACAATTCAGGATCAAAAGGGTAACATTAAACAAGTATAAGCTTCAGGAATAACTTTGCATGAGTTATTTGCAAAATAAGTTTTAGTCCAAAGTGTGTTGCCCTCTATGTTATAAATTAAATAATCGAAAACGAAAAGTCGATTGAAATAAAAAAAAAAATTAAAGCAGTAACAGACGATATTGAGGCCAAATCTCATTTGAAGCAAAAGAGAGATAAATTATACTAAATAGGAGAAATGCATTTCCTATCCAGTATTTGCCTTTTCCACTATGTACAACAGAGAAATTGTACCGAATCGGAAGTTAAATTGGATTCACTTATGTGTTAATTCTTTTGAGTTTTGTATAATGATACTTACCTATATATTTGATCGTCCAATAATGTTGCTATCTAAATAATATATTCCCTTCAAAAATGTGGTTGTCGATATACACAGTAAACATTTGATAATATTTTTTGTATGTAATTGGACGTAAAATTTACAAACAAGAACGGGTAAAATATTATGTGTTTGACGTTACACTGTCAATATATCTAACTCGCTCCTGAATGTTTGAAGACTGTCTGTGCAAACGTATTGTTAATGTGCGTTTTAAACCATGTTTACCTTTTTATCACTTAAATAAATTACATTATATACATTTGAAAATGAATGGTTCATTACCCCTAGTTTATATAATATCACTGTATATAATAAAGACTGCCGTTAACAATATGGACTTTAAATATTTAAAAGAATATTTATACCTTTACAATGCTTTTTATTTTCGTGTTCATGATTTTATTTGTAAACGTATACCAATGATATAACAAAATAGATAAATATTCAGCGACACCCAACTTAAAATGCTTTCGTTTTTTCAATTCTATACAAACAGATCTACGCAGATTATAGAAATACATAAAATTTATTTGAATACACACAATTACAGTTATTGGCAATGGACCAGATTTCAGTACATTATTACATAACAGCAAAATGATATAACATGTTATAATTAAAAAGATAAAATTTCATTTCTATTAAATCTAAACATGTATGTATATGAGAACTAGTCACTATAAAATAATTACTATGAAGGCAACATTTCATCCTGTTACAATTATTTCTTGTTACTGATAAGTTTTATAGATTTTGAAAAGACATTGTATTAATGATAAATAAGATTTTGGATTTTTTTCTTCTTTTCTTTGGTAAATTGTTTGAAGAATTTTGTGGCAAGTTTGTTTGTTATTCTGTAAAAACTAATTTTCTGAATGCTATATATATATTTTTTTGATGAAGTGAACTCCTTTAAAAACTAAGCTTATATTGTCTATTAATAAACATATATTTAGATTACTGATTTTGGGCCCAGTTTTCAAGTTGGTCCAAATCGGGGTCCAAAATTAAACTGTGTTTGGTTTCAACATAAATTGAATATACATGTATATAGGGTTCTTTGAAATGCTTAATCTAAACTTGTATTTCTTTTCATTATTAATAAGATAATACCACATTGAGGTCCAAAGGGTCCTAAATTAAACTTTTGTTTAATTTCATCAAAAATTGAATTCTTTGGTTCTTTGATATGCTGATTCTAACAATGTTTGAGTGTTAAATCATATCTAATTTTAGAGAACTTAGTCATCACTGGTTGTTGTTATTAAATTATTGATTATAATTTGAAAAATTGCATCATATCTTATTTTAGAGAACTATTTATCCAGTTTGAGTTATTTACCTTTGCATAGAAAATATTATGGATAAAATTAACCTGTGTTACATTTCAACATAAATTAAATATATATAGGGTTCTTTCAAATGCTGAATCTAAACCTGTATTTAAATATTAGATTTTTGGGCCCAGTTTTCAAGTTGGTCCAAAATATCAGGGTCCAAAATTAAACTTTGTTTGATTCAACAAAAATTGAATCTATGGGGTTCTTTGAAATGCTGAATCTAACCATGTATTGAGAGATTTTGGATTGTGTGCTCCTTTATCAAATTGGTCCACATTGCGGTCCAAAGGTTCCTAAATTAAACTTTTGTCTGATTTCATCAAAAAATGAATTCTTGGGGTTCTTTGATATGCTGATTCTAATATGTACTTAGATTTTGGATATTGGACCATAATAGGTATTTAAATGTCCAATTTCAAATATTTCAGTTCTTTGACCACATTCATTTTGTGTCACAAACCTATGCTGTGTCAAATATCCAATCACAATCCAAATTCAGAGCTGTTTTAAGCTTAAATGTATTGTCCATACTTGCTCAACTGTTCAGGGTTCGACCTCTGCAGGAAAATCCGGTTTTCTATCACTCTGACAGCCTCTTGTTTATTAATGACTTGAGTCAGATATATTTGAAAAGCAAAACTGTATCCTTGTAAAATCTATCAATTCAGACAAAGTTATCTCCTATTTGCAGATGATTTAATAATATTATCAGAAAGTGAAAATGGTCTGCAAAATAGTTTGATTTATTTTTCAGAATTTTGTGATAAATTGCAATTAACAGTTTATATTTAAAAAAATCTAAAACCATGATATTACAAAATAACCCCAGTAAAATAATTGAACTTTTTTAAGATTTAAAGGAAAATACCTAATAAAAAGTTTATGACTACAAATACATTGGATGTGTTATAACATCTAATGGCAGTTTCACTAGTTTTAGTTCAGATTTTGCACACTAGAGGCACTCAAGAGCCTGTGTCGCTCACCTGTATCTTCTGTGGTCTAGGAAATCAGGTAAAATACGGTTAAAATCATATAGATACATTAATAGTGATTGATGTCAAGTTTGGTTTAATTTGGCCAAGTAGTTAAATTAAAAGTAGAAGATTTTGAAAAAGATTTAAAAAAAATTACCAATAAATTGCAGAAAATAACTTTCAAGGACAATAACTCCAATAAGATGTTAATTGCCATTTGGTCATGTTAACTTATTTGTAGATCTTTCATTGCTTGATCATTTTTCTGTTTACAGTATATCTTAATCTATAATGATATTCAAGATAATTAACAAAAAATAAAAAAAATCTCTTCCTCCGCTCCAAAACTTATTTCACCAAGGGCGTGTATAATACTGAAAATGCTTTTTAATGTTTTTTATGGAACACCCTTCAAAAAAAAGTTGGACAGGGGTTCCGCTGACCCCGACTAACCCACTGGGTCTGGGGGTTATTCACCCAATATAAGCATGCTGACAGAAAAGATATAAAATGGAACATATCAAGGAGAATAATTAGCACACCCCCCCCCCCTTTTCCACCCCCTGAAAAAATTGCACTCCCTGGAAAAAAAAAAGTCATCCCATTGTAGTCTTGCAATAGTTACTGAAGACCCCATTATCATTATCTAAATTAGTTTTCAAGTTGTGACCATTTGAAATTTTTTTTTTAAATCCATTTGATCAAGTTAATTTAGAGAAGGTTTTTGAAAAATAGTGAAAAATTTACTACTTTTCGCCAGTCCGTGGGTCCTTCATGCATCCTTGTTGTAAGAACGGTATGACAGTGAAGGTTCAAACTCTTCTGAAATCAAATTATCAGCCTTCAAAAAGTAGGAACAGAATAAATCTATAAGCTGTTCAGTTTCAAGTTCAATTTTCAATATTTTTAATATCGCATAAAATAATACATGGGTAAGGAAGTTACGAGTTTATCATTTCCAGGAAATTGTATTCTCGATTATTTTTTTACGTTGCAACCATTGAAACAAATAATAAAACACACATTGTGTATTTCTATTTTATGAACAAGTTCTGGTTAGATCCAGGTATATTTTAGGCAGAATGTCGAGCTGTTAATATGCATCTGATATGCACAGACCATGTATTTTGCTTAATTTAAGGGTAATTGATGAATGCATCTAAAAGATGGAGCATATATTGCTCATTTTAGTGGTTACTCATAGGACATGCCATCTGTAGCAGTTGTTCGAATTCTAGATATAACATGGAGTCTTTATTATGAAAACTTACATAGCCGCATAATAGATCAGTATTTTTTTTTAAAATATTTTTGGCAGCAATATTGGAACACAATGACTACAACATTTAGAGTGCTAGCATGTCCTTTTTGTATTCAAACTACTGATGGATCACAAAAAATAGTACTTTTAACGTCTCAGGCTGGTTTGTAAATGAAAAATATTTGACCGCAACAACCAAAGCTGACCATATTTGCACTTTATTGTAAAAAAAGTATAAAGCTGCATAATAAATCAGTATTTTTTTAACTCAAGACAGATTGTATAATACAAATGACAGCAATATCGGAAGACAAGTACTACAAAAATTTGTCTGCATCAATTTAGAGTGCCGGTTTGTCCTCTTTTTATTCAAAATCTAATCTGGTCACAAAAAATTAGTACTTTTGATAACTAAGGATGGCTCGTATAACAAAATTATTGGACCGCATCAACCAAAACTGACCGTATTTGCACTTTATTAAGAAAATTAAATAGCCATATCATAAATTAGTAAATTTGTTAACTGAGGACTGATTGTATAATACAAATGACAGCAATATTTAAGACCGACAGGCACTTTGTGAAATGTTTATTGCATTTATGATGTTTGGTTTGAAAAAGTGTTTAAAAAAGTGTAGTTCTGCTTTATACTTATTATATATGCATAAGTCCTAAATAGGAATAAGATTTGTTTCAATCATTTTCATGATTACCTATGAGCACCTCTCCACCCACCAACCCAAATTGAAAATTTGTTACCTGTTGATGCCAAATTATGCTAAAATAATGTTTTTTTACGAAATTCATCTCAGTTGATGACGTCACAAATACATCACAAATATTGCAATAGAAATCTTCTCTAACTGAACCAATTGGACATATAAACTATGTTTTCATTAAATTTTCACATGGCTCTAATTCCTGAACCGTTTGGGCCATAACCCCCAATGTCAATCTAACCTTCCCTTTGTGGTATGGAAACTTGTGGTTCAATTTCAGAGAGATCCATACACTGTTACACAAGTAATTGTCCGGAAACTAGAAAAATGCTTATTTGGCCCCTTATTCCTAAACAGTTGGGACCATAACCCCCAAGATCAATCCCAACCTTCCTTTTGTGGTATTAAACCTTGTGTTTAAATTTCATAGAATTTCATTCACTTATACTAACGTTATTGTCCGGAAACCAAATGTCTTCGGACGACGACGTGATAGCAATATACGAACGCAAATTGTTTGCTCTCGTATAAAAAAGATTTTGATTGTAAAACAACATTTTCATTGTCTTGATGGTCAGTTAGCACCGAGTTAAGCCTTTCAGGATATGTTATCCTACATCATGCGATTTTTGTTGTAGATTGTTTGACCCTGAAGTGATTGATACATATTTACTACTCCCCAAAGGTGACTGGGGAATAGAAGTATGGTCACCATTGGTCTTCCTTCAACCGGCAGTAAAACCCTCGACAAAGTGGGGCGTCCGTTTGGCTGTGCGGGCTGTATAACCACGTCCGGTCAGAATGGGGATGTTAAATCCGATACCTTGTGAAAAGAGAGTGCCACGCTCTTTGCACATTAAGAACCCTTGCAACAACTCCTTGAGGGGTCCGTGGTGA